TTTTTCCATAAAAGTTCAAAAATTTTAATCAAGACTTGTTGACAGTAAAAAATTATGTTTACTCTGTGCAAAATTAACAAAACAATTTTTAAATAATGTGTAAAATGTTTACTAAAATTTGGCGGAAAAAATTAGAACATTCTAAGGGTTGAGTCAATTTTATTTCTGTGTTAATATTACGTTTGGAAATAATCTAATGAGTTTAATTATTGTTTTATTAGTGTATATTATCAGAAAATATAAATTTTTAATATTGAATCTTTGAAATGAATCCAAACAGGAAAAATCTTTCTATTAAATTTTAGTTTGTGCTGCCAATGATCTGATATATCTAATACAAAAATTGGCAACAAAAAAATACCATATTTGGTCAATTGTGGTAGTAGCGCATGCGCTCACCACATAAATTACAGTGTTTTTAGAGTCATTTTTAGTTTACCGGTATATGTGAATATCTAAGGAAATCTATTTATGAAAATGAATTACTAGAACCTTCTTTTCTTCTTATAGTTGATACGGAGGTAGATGGCGATCTGCGATTACATGAAGAACCAATCAGTGAATACCATTCCAAAGCATCTAGGACATTATTTATTGGAAACCTGGAGAAAAATACAACGTACAGCGACTTAAGAGAAAAATTTAAAGCTTTTGGTGAAATTGTGGTAAGTTGCACTGAAATGTTATGTAGTAGGAGAAAATATTTAATTTTATTGTAGCAGTCTTGATGTTGCTGGGATATTTGTGTTATTTTGGATGTTCGCTGTGCTCACTTTTAATCCCTGTCTTACAGCGGGCACAAATTAATTTTTTTCTAGGTACATACTGTGACTATGTTATTGTCTGTTTTCATATTGCAACATTGCGTGATTATACAAAGGAAGTTATAAATTATCTGTGCGAATCTTATTTGCGAAGACTAACTATCTCAGGGAAGTTGCAAGTTAGCCGTACGAAGCTTGTTTGCTCCTGCTGTAGAACTATGTGAAATATTCACTGCTGTATGATTTGTGACCTTTTCTCGATTCATCATTGCAAAACTAATATGATCTGAAGGTTGTATGTGTAGTTTATGTGGAATGAATAATGGTATCATTTAGCATCTGCTGTTCAATGCAATCTACTGTAAAATCAATAATGTCCATTGTTGCCTCTGTCAGAGCATCTGTTACAAAACACAAATATATTGCTTAAAATACTTTATATACGCACTGACAGCCCAACAAAATAACGCATTGTCTTTTATCTGAAACTGACAGAATGACCTTTGTCATCTCACGCTGTGATAAACACGGCTTAGTTTTCAGAAAATATCCTAGAAGTGTAATTTCCTTTCCAGGTTTGAAAATGCTAATTTGATTTTTATCATCTCCTGCAGGATATTGACATCAAGAAGCAGGGTGGTGTTCCAGCGTATGCATTTATGCAGTTCGCAAATATTAAGAGTGTCGTCAAGTCTCTGAAGAAGATGGACGGTGAACCGATCGGCAAGAATAGATTTAAGGTTAGAAGGATGCGCTGTTATTCTGATTTTATCGCAGCATAAACTGTTTCGGGAGAAATATTATTTTTTCGATGACTCAAGGGTTTATGTCTGCATCAAAGATATAGTAAAAGGCAAAATGTCTGCCTTCGTCTCTGTCGTAAATTTCTTTCTTGTTGGTTAAAAAAAAAGTTATCATCAATTGGTGTAACATTTATTTCTCCAGTATCTTTCAACGTTGTGGAAATGTGTAATAGCTACAGTGTTTTCTAATTTCAGCTTGGGTTTGGAAAGAGTATGGCAAACAATTGTCTTTGGATTGAAGGCATAGCGGCAACTGTAACAGAAAGTACACTGGGTAGATTCTTTAGTCGATACGGCGCTGTGACGCACTGCGATATTGACAGGAAAAGTGAACTAGCTTTGGCATATTTTGATAAGGTGGAAAGTGCACAGTTTGCCTTGAATGAAACAAAAGGAAGAAAACTATCGAAGAAAAGGTTGCAGGTAATCGTCTACTTTTAATTTCTCCATATAGAATGTGCCACTTATTTGTTCTTGAGGGCAACATTGTTTTAATAATAATAATAATAATAATAATAATAAGTCTTTATTAAAACCTGATGTAAGTCATGCAATAATAGTGGTAAACTTCACACACACATTAGTTATCAGAATATATGTTTGTAGGTTTCATAAATCCAAGAATCACATGAGTAATGTAGAACTAAAATACTGTAGAATACTTTATTTTTGCTTGGAATTTATTTTTGCTGATGGGATGATTCCGTGAAAATAAAATCTAGTGAAAATAAATTCCATACAAAACGCCCAAGAAGCCTATTCAGGAAAATTAATTCCAGCGAAAATAAAGTATTCCACAGAAGTAAAGGGCCCAGGACTAGATACCAATACGATCAACCTTTTCACCACCAGATTTTCTCGCCAAAATTTTTCAGCATTTTTTTCTGCATATTCAACAATATTACTGGAAATGAACCCTTATTTTGGAGCCAACAGACAAAATTTAAGTAAATTTTCAATTTTTACTCAAAAAATTTGGCTATTTTTATCACAATCTTCTGAAGGAAACTATAAACAGGACTATTTTGTGAATTTGTGATGAAAAAAGGAAACTGTTGTTGTAAAGGTTAATGGTGTGTGTCACATAGAGAATTATAACGCTGTGAACTCGGACAAATAAATGCATTGGTTGACCTGCCGTACGTTTTTATTGATATGATAATCATGTATGAACACGAATAAACCTGGCAGATTAGACATATTTTTGCATAAATAAGGCAAATTACACATGTTTATCAAAGTTCATTCATTTATGTCGTGTCTGTACAGAACTAGGTTACCGGGGTAGTTGCAATGACTTTGTGTTTTTTAAAACTGTTTTACATGAATATACAGTAACAGGTGATGTTATTTCAAATAAAACTCGCTTCTCTGTGGTTTTGGTAATGACTTGAAAATAACTAACTAACCTTTAACTAAGGGGGGGAAGCTTGAAATTTGGCAGTTTGCCAAAAAACAAAAGGCAAATAATGTGGAATTACATGTTTTCATCCTCTCCCGTACATGAAAGTGGTATATAAGTACATCTTTTTCAAATACAAATTTAATGTTTAACACCGAGACAAAATAGTCCCCCCCCCCAAACCACCAAAATTGAAAATTATTATTCACTTCAAGACGGTACACCACCACCCCCAATACATTTCATTTTCTGCCAATCTCTGACAATTTTAGAACACCCCCTAATACTAGAATGTCACAGGATGGGAAATTCACATACATTTGAAAATAGTAACATACAGTTTCTATTGAATCAGATGTGAAATGATATTTTTGTGGTGGTCATTGTAGATAACTATAACATTATCCCCTTATCCCCTCCAGTTCCCGTACCATGGTATAAAAAGGCAAATTGTCATATTTTTTTCACTTTTACAAATAGATGCTTCATTCTAGGTTTACTTCTTTTCAGGTCGACTTTGCCAGTGTTGAATTACAGAATAACTTTTATGAAAATCTTAAAAAAACTGGTCAAACTTTCGTCGATAGAAGAGATGTCACACCATATCCAAAGTACAGAGAAGTTCGGTAAGAAAAAAAATTCAAATATTAAATGAAGTTACTGCTGTTTAGTTTAAGCGTATTGAAGGATAAATCTGTTCTAAATACTTGAGAAAACTGAAAGAAAAATTGAAATTGTTTACCATATGCCAACTTTCTTTGTTTCTGTCTAACATTATGATTCAATTTCTGCTGTCTTTTTCGTAAATTTCACAAGTCACTGAAAATTGGAAAATCCTGCAGCAGTGAATGTTGATGACTTTTGCGAAATTTTGTTTTCACAAATTCCATGAAATCCTAAATTCATGAACAATTTCTAAAAATGAAAATTAAATAGTTTACAGTATTTTCTGACTTTGGTTAATGATGTTGTCCAACAGCAATTAAAATTCCACAGTTTTACCAAGTATATTTGTGAAAGTAATCAATTTTTTGCTCGTTTAACAGAGATCCACCTCCAGCACAGTATAATAATTACTATAATAGAGATGTAAACTACCATCAATACCAGACAAGTAGTAGACCACCATATCCTGAGGATTACGACTACGATGATTGGAATCAGAGGAGGAACTATGAAGACGAATATAGTACAGGAAGTGCCGCAAGTTATCGTGATGTAGAAGATTCATATGAACAAGAACTTAGAGAATATGGATATCGGCAGAGGGAAAGGCGGGAGCAGTTACATCGAGAACAAAGTCCAGTATCATCACGAGAAAGGTATGACCGTATTTTGATATTTAGAATGTCTTCCTATTTCGCTGGTAGCGAAAATAAATCAAACCATTCTGGTACATGATTGGGCTAATTTCAATTTGTACATAAAGATCATACTTGCATAGTACCAGTAGGTTACTGGTGCATGTCTTATTCATTCAGAACTTGTTTTGTTTTTCTTGGTGTCTGGTGTTGAACCGTAGCTTTTCACCCAAAACCATTTGATCACGACTCTGAATGTTATCAGACATCATTTTATGTATAGCATGACATTCAGATATGATTCTCTTACTAAGATTGTGATGTATTTGTCAGTTTTTGTCCCTGTTGGTGGTTGTTTGTTTTGTGTTCTTAGACTGGTAAATTTTATTTGACAAGGATTTAGATTTTGTCTGAATAAATTATTTTTTTTTTTATTCAAAGTTGGTACTCAGAGAAGTCATACTGATACACAAATTACTTTAATTTGTTATATATTGCAAAATGGAGGTTTTCCCTGCCAATGTGCATCTATGATATAGTTAATTTCTACTTTATGTTAAAAATGTAGTTAGTACTGCTGGCAAAAAATCACTTGAATTTACTTGTAATGTAGCCATAGTGTGTGTGAAGAAAGTTATCAAATATAAGAAGTTTCTTTCACTGTCTGTTTTAACTGAGTGTTAATTATTAGTCCCCGTTCGGACGAAGTCCGAAAACGGGGACTTATAATTCGGTCTCCGTCCGTGTGTCCGTGCGTCTGTCTGTGCGTCCGTGCGTCCGTCCGGAGTCATATCTCAGAATCCCTTGGACCGATTCTGTTCATTCTTTGCATGTGCCTAGTACTTTATGTGGGACATATGCACATGCAATGGTTCAGCGATTCGATTCAAAATGGCCGACTGGCAGCCATCTTGTTTTTTGAAAATGTTGTATTTTGGACATGCTTTGTCCATTTTCATTCAAACTTGGTACATAGATTATACATGTTAGGATACATGTCCATGACGATTTATTTCACAATTGGATCAAAGATGGCCGACTAGCAGCCATCTTGTTTTTTGAAAATTTCATATTTTGGACATGCTTTGTCAGTTTTCATTCAAATTTAGTACATAGATCATACATGTCAGCATACATGTCCTGACCGTCCCTGAGTTCCTGAGTCTGTCTGTCCGTCCATCCGTGTGTCCGTATGTCCATGCGTCAGTCTGTCTGTCCAGAGTCATATTT